GTCCATGGGTCAGTTATTACTGCCTGCCAATGATGATCTGAACCAAATTATAGGGCTGGCTTCAAAAATAAGACAATCTAATTATAGGCATGAAAAATTAGAATGCTGTTACTGTGCTGCTCACCCTAACGTGCTCAGTTCAAAAGCTGACACTTAAGATATTAACTTAAATTGTTAAGAGTATAGACACTTTTCCCCATGAAATGCCAAACCAATTCTGATGCTAAAAAGTTAGGTTATTACTAATTTAAACACTCTAATATAGAAAGGATGGTGAAAAAAAAAAAAAGGAAGATGAGAGGGGATCTTGTGATAAGAAATAACCCAAGGTCTCAAATTTGACTCCAAAGCAATTAATGCATGCTGATGAGTCTGTATGAATCAGCACTGTTCTGGGAGAAGGTATAGTTTAACTCAAAAGAGTATCAGTATCACAATATGGATTCATTCTAGCTGGGAGACAACAAGAGCTAGAGGAAAGCCAAGCATGGTTTCAGAAGCCAAATACTTTCTTCTCTAACTTCCCTCAAAATAACCATTAAGTCGCCTACAGCAAAACTTAAGGCTGCTAATTTCCTTTTTAAAATTTTCTTATTACATTTAACTTGTTTATCATGTATGTGTATGTTTGTGTAAAAGCACATGCTATGGAGGTCAGAGGACAACTTGCAGGAGTTGGTTTTCTCCTTCTACCACATGTGAACTCAGGCCATCAGGCTCAGTGGCAAGCACCTTTACCCACTGAGCCATCTCACCAGCCCAAAGGAGCTAAATTCTAGAAGTGCACACAAACATATTTGAACATCTAACTAAGATGACGGGTGAGACTCAGAACAACTGAAAGAAAGAAAATACAGCAGATGCTATTCTTCCGCCTGGGCTTCGAGGCTGCTGAGTGATTCATCTTGGCTCACAGCGCTGTCAGTTCCTGGCCTGGGATTCTGTTCAGGGAAGGTACTTGTTGAACAGAGCAGAAGACTTTGCTTAACTTAAGGCAATCACTTGACCATCCTAGCCCCTCAGTTCCAGGGATTGTAGCTGTGTTTTGAGAAACAAAGTAGTCGTGCTACATTGCAGTACAGTACATCTTGTGAACAGCTAAGTCATACTCAACTGAATCAAGGCCCAGTGAGTAAATGAGTATAAACAGAAAAAAAGGGGGCCGGAATGACAGACTGATACTGTCATGACTGTGGTGACTGTATTTTCCTAACAAGGCAGCGCTACAAAAATAAAGCTTAGATATAAAATAATTAAAAAATAATGCTTCACATGCAGAAGTAGAGAATGAGACCACAGTTATAGGGAAGTGGCAGGGAATGAGAAGTTGGAGGCCAAAGGACAGAAAGCAGGGGTGTGCTGGATGAGTGGGTGTTGCCAGGTATGGTGACATGGAGAGAGAGAATAAGGAGGGAGAAATGGGCACCTGGGAAATGGCGGGTATGTTGATTTGCTTCACTACTGTAACTACTTTACTATATATGTGTATACACTAGTCTTTTCTTACTACCCAGGCATCCTTCATAAGGTAGCTCAAGTCGCATCTTGCAGAAGCTTTTGAGACCAACTACCACTCAAGGATCTTCCTCTGACTTTCCTGTTGACACATTTGCTAAGTTACAAGTGATACTTTTCTCACTGAAACAATTCTGCTCTTCAGAATATTGCATAAATGCCTATGGGTGAGTTCTCTTAATTAACTGTTGGTATCTTGCAAACTGGGAGCCTCTCTTCTCACATCACTTAAAGCAGTAACAATCAGTTTTTGGTACACGACACCTGTAGCGGGAGATATATTTTTATATCACAGACTATTATGTACCTAGATATAAACATAAAAGTTCCTTAAGCCCTATTTACCCTTGGATGTCCTCTTACTCCAGTATTTTTCAAAAGTAAAAAATTCTAATCAGGGGGCTGGAAAGATGGCTCAGTGGTTAAGAACACTGGTTGTTCTTGCAGAAGACCCAGGTTCGAATCCCAACACCCACGTGGTAGCTAACAACTGTCCGTAATTCCAGTCCCAGGGGATCTGACAGCCTCTTCTAATCTCCACAGGCACTGCACAACAGGTGCACTTACCTACATGCAGGCAATACATGCATATACATAAAATATAAAAAAATTAAAAAAAAATTCTAATCAGATTCATTAAATTGATCCCATGGGTGGCTGGTACCTGTAGGTTGAAAATTTCATGTCCAGAACTGTTTTTGTTGATCATTATGGGGTTGGTATAACCATTTTTCTCACTTAAAACTTCTTGAAAACTTCTCTGTGTCCTTTGGTCCGTATTCTGGAGTTAATGGCTCACTCAAGCTTTCATATACATTTGTCTTTTGGAGTTATTCGGGATGTTTAAATGCAAGCACAGAAAAGCATGACTTACTTGAAGACTTTTTTCTCCTCTAAGCAGACAATCGCAAATTAAGCTAAGTATGATTTGTAGATATTTGAAGGCTATAAATCTGGGTACGCACAGTCATGTAGAACTTGAACATAAGTGCATTCACCATCTCTGTGTTGAATGTCTTCCTGAAGGACTAGAGCAGCCCTTCTGATCCTCAGCTTGTGAGTGGAGTCTGCTCCCCTGTCTATGGCCAAGCTGTGCCTTTCCGTACTGACAGGATTGGTTTCCTGGGCCTTTGTAGAGTTAAGGCCCTTCCCTCTCTTCATCAGGGCAGTGCCTCACATGCCTGGGAAACCTGCCTGGTTCCCTCCACCTCTTCCACCTGGTTCCAACAGCTCCTCCCACAGCACTTCAGCTGCCACTGTCAGTCTCTTTGTTAAGTGTTGCAGGTCCAGACTGTGTCTTGTTTATTCTTTCAGCTCACCTTGGAGAACCACACCAGATTCAAAAAAAGCAACATTGACTACATGAATGAGCAAGTGGCTGGCTGACTGACTGAATGAACACATGAAGGGCAGAAGCAGCCACTGAGAGCCCCCAGTGCAAGCTGGGATGAAAACTGTCCTCCTCACTGAGGCCAGTGTTTTAAGACTTTGTGATTCCAACACTGACATTTTAGTGCTTCCCTGTAAGCTACAGATTTGGGGACTGAAAATTTAAACTGTGAAGAGTAGCTATCTGTGTGTGTGTGTGTGTTTGTGTGTGTGTGTGTGTGTGTGTGTGTGTGTGTGTATTCCAAGGCATAATCAAGAAAATATTGCTGGAACAAATAATTGTGTTAGGCAAATCTTCTGAGGCAATTAAAACACTAAAATTTCAGTACATCCTGCTGGAATCCCCTTCCTCTCCAACCGAGGCTGAGCTGATTCATCTAGCCCTTCGACACTCCACTCTGTGCTAGCAAGTCTGTTCTAGTCATTTTCAGTCTTTAGTCTTTAGTGACTGGGTGAAGTCTCACCACACCACACACTACATGTTTCTCCCAGAGTACCCTTGCTGTTTCCAAAATACATTTCAGTGATAGAACATCTAGACTTGTTACGCCAGTGACAATTACCACACTGTTCTCCTGTTTATGACCAATGCAGTCCCCACTAAACACACACACACACACACACACACACACACACATCCCTGAAAACAGATGTTGTGATTCTATTTCCAAAGAACAATCTCTAATGCAAACACTGGCCATTTGAAGAGCGCAACAGAGAAGATCTTTGTGCTGTGACTCATGTATCTTTATTCCCACAATTGTTACTTAGGATCAATGGCGAACACAATGGGAAAGAAGGAATAGTTCATAAGTGGAAAATAAGCACATTTGGGAGAAATACACTCACAGCATTATCAAACTAAAATATGCAGTAGCACCAGGAGCAAATAAAGCCCACGCAAGAGATGTGTAAATATTTCATGAAGCTAAGCCTTAATCAACTCTCTCTCCAAATCTTTCTGGTGTTGTAAACACTTCAGTCTCTTCCAGTCCTACCATGACCCAGATTCCATGCAAAAATAAAACAAAAACACAGACCCATGGGTCTTGAACAAATGTGTCCTGAAAGATACTTAGATCGGTGAAGACACCTTAGTAAAAGGTGGTTGTCAGCTGGATGGTGATCTAAGCTCTTTTTCTCCCTCCACACTTTTGCCTTTCCCTCACCTCCTCAGCTGCTCCCCGCCCCCCATCATCTTAACCTTGAACTGCCTATTTGCAGGCAGTGACTTCCCCCAACCACCCTCCAGGAGGCCCTGCTCTGCAAACTGCTTTCCCTCCACCCCAGTTCACCTTCCAGTGGAGTCTAAGTGACCACTCTCTCTTGCCTCCCATTTCACTGGTCATTGTCTGGCATGTTGCCTACATCTTTCCCACCTGCCTGGATAGCTGTGTGTACTGGATGACCATTTCCAGGCCTTTTCTAAAATCTACCTCCGGAAGTACTTATCACCTTGAGTCTCTACCTTGTTTCACTGTGGTTCCAAAGTTCACCTCTAGACACTGAACAGGACTCCACAGTGATAATCCTTTATCAGTATCTGCCAGCTCTTCCTCTTCTCTCCCTCCCTACCTCAAGAAGAAATACATATGTGCAAATTCACTCACACGCCAATACATTTATATTGTGTATTACCGGGATTTTGACCTTAAAAGAAATAAGGATAGGAAAGAAAATTTAGAGCCAAGCGCGCGCTCACACACACACACACACACACACACACACACACACAGAGAGAGAGAGAGAGAGAGAGAGAGAGAGAGAGAGAGGCGCGTGTACACACACGCCCCTCTAGGCATATTCACAGTGTGCAGTTCCTGCTGATTAAGATTCCCCCAGCTCGAGAGCAGCAAGCCTCTTCCCCCATTTACCTTCCGAGGCAGGGGAGGCAGAGCTTTCGGGAGCAATGACCTTGCAGGGAAACGCATCACCTGCGGGGCACACAGCCCCTCCTGGGCGCAGGATGGATTGCGAGCAACAGGCAAAGGATCCCGGAGCAAAATGTGGGACCCGGTCCTCCCCCCGCAGGACCGGGCGGCGTCGGGCTCGGGTCCCCGGGGTGGCCGCTGAGCGTGGGGCTGCGGGTCGCCTACCTGCTCCGGCCGCGCGGCCTCCTGCGCCGCGGGGGTCCCGGCTTCCAGACGCGGATCCCGAGCAGCGGCTCTGCGCCACCGCGATGCCGGCCGGCCGGCGAGCTGCGGTCCTGCTCAGCCCCGGAGCCAGCTCGCCGAGCAGGAACTGAAATTACTATGCAAAGCGCTGAGGCGGCGCTGGAGCGGGGCGGGGACGGGCAGCCCCGCCGCGGGGCGCGGAGCCAGCGTGGAGGTGGAGCCCACGTGCAGCCGGGCCGCTGGCCAGGGGCCCCTCGCCACAGGCCGGAGCGGAGCAGGGGTTTAGTTCCTTAGGCTGCAGCCACCAGGCCCAGCCAGCTCCGCCCCGCCCAGAGCCGCGCCCCGCCGGGTGCTGGCCAGAGGTGGCCCGCTGCGGTTCCGCTCAGGGGGACCAGACGGAGACGGAGGGCTGGGCGCCCAGAGTGACTCCGCAAGAACTCTGGCCTTTACTCCCTAGCAGGTCACCAGACTCCCTGGCTGGGTCTAGACTGGCAGCCAGTTTCTAATTAAGTCACGTGCGGTGCAATGAAGATCCGAATCAAGCCGTGCACCGCCCTTTAATGCGTGTTGTAAAATGCACAGTAGCAGGCGTATTTGAAGTAGGCTTTGAGCACGGGGCCGGCCCCTCCCTGGCATACCTCCCTGCAAAGGCCTGAATGGCTTTGGACACAGCCCTGCTGAGCTGCTGCTGCAGTGGTAAATGGGTGGCTGTGCAGTGTGGTTAGCAGCTGTAGATGGTGCTGAATAGTACAATGACTAGAGTTGCTGTAACTGAGAACTTGTGCACAGTGTGCAGTTCTGACGCTCACTACTACTTATTAAGGGGGTGTCGTTCCTGTTAGTGTGTCGCATTGTGAAACTTTGTTTGAGATTAGAGTAGTAAACTGCCCAGCTGGGACTCAAATCTCTCCCAAGGAATAGCCTTGCAACTAGCCCATGAGGCTTACCAGGAATCTTGTTGAAATGCTGGCTGTGAGTCATTACATCTGGATCAGAGGCCCAAGAGTCTGAGTGTCTAAGACTCCCGGGTGATGCGGGTGCTGCTGGCCAAGATGTCTCTGTCATTGGGCCGGGGTTTGTGAATAGGGTTCTTTTGTGCCACCTCAGTTCACTGACAGATACTCTCTGCAGGTGAATTAAGAAGGATGGCTCTTGAGTAAAGAATGCTGGAAAACAATTCTGGACGCTCATTTTGGTCAATGAGGAAGGCTGTGGCTAGGGGGCCTGTGGCCCCTTGACGTCATGCATTTTGTCTCATGTTTACTGTGATATCTCTTTCACTTTAAACAGTGTCCAGGGCTCAAAAAATGGCTAAGCAGTTAAGAACACTGGCAGAAGACCCACATAGCAGCTAACAACCATCGATAACTCTAGTTCCAGGGGATCCGATGCCCTCTTCTGACCTCCATGGGCACTGCATGACATGGGTGCACTTATAGACATGCAGACAATACACACATACACATAAAAATCATTAAATAAAAAAAAATAGTGTCCAATGCTGAAGTATTTGTTGAATGAATCACTGTCCTCAATTACAGATTAGGAAACCAATTTGGAAGTATTTTAGTGACCTGTACAGTGTCCCATATTTTACCAAGACTAAAATTCAATGTCCAGTCCAATAGTTTTTGATACTGTATTTTCTTTAAGTGAAAGTCATTAGTGACATATTGGGATAGCAACATATTTAAAAGACGTAAGACTTTTGGAACAGAATCTTCTTTGAATGCCACATCTCTCCTTAAACTTCTTCATTTCAGCTGCATCTTTCCAAAAATCATTATCTTCAAGACAGGCAGAAGAGAATCCCAGGGTCAAAGGGAACTTCTGCTTTGTGTTTGTCAAAGAAAATATTATTTTTATCCTAGAGCCACTTATCTTATCTCTAAGCTGTTTGCTAGAATTTGGTCATTAGATCTTTCAAGAAGGCTGTGAAGGTGTGTACCAAGTACGGAAGAATGCGCTTGATTAGGTTTCTTGAGGATAGACATCGTATTGCTTTGCGCTTGATTAGGTTTCTTGAGGATAGACATCGTATTGCTTCAGTTGAAAGGAACCTTCCGTTCATAGGGAATAATGACAGGTTGTCGAATCACACCATAGGAATGCTGTTCACATGAATCAAGCGCTACGCCAAAGACTCACACTGAAGACAATCTTGATGTCACTTGAATACATTTTGGATTTCCAGAAGACGATGACAAGTATACAGATCAGACTTCTGCTCATTTCCCCCTCACTTTGGTTGGTCCCTCCTTCTCTGCCCCTTTCCCTTCTTTGCTTCTTCCTCTCCTTCTCCCTCTGCATAGCTTCATATGACTCTACCGGCTGTGTCTTTGACAAAGGCAGCAGGTGGCAATGGTTGAGGCAAATGTTGGAGCTCACATCTCCAGCCAGGGAGCAGAGAGAGGATGGGACCTCTTTGAAGGACAGACCTCCAATGATCTAAGCCCCTCCCACAGGCCCAGCCTCCCAATGACTCCCTTTCCACCTCAAATGCTACCCCGGAGATTACAGCTTTTACACATAGACTTTTGGGGGGACTTTGTCCAATTTCTTCACTTCCTCACTCTCCCATGCTCTCTGTTACAAAATAGCCATCCCCAGCTTAAGTTTTGTTAGATTTAGTATTCCTTTGCTCTGTTGTCATGGGAATACTCATGAGAGAGGCGAGTCCTACTGACTGGATAATTGATACTTAAATCACTGCTCCTAAACTCAAATTTATTATTCTTACAACACTAGTTTTTATAACACACAAGCGTGTTTTCCTCTAACACCACAAGTTACTCTTGTTTGTGCCCAACCCTACACCTTATAGGAATGTCCTTCCCTCTTGGTCACTTGTGTTAGTCAAGGATTTCTTGAGAATTTCTTCAGGTATTTTCAAGAGGATATACTGAGATGTAGGGGAAAAGATTTACTGTGAGGAACTAGTTTTGTGATTATGGAGGTCAAGAAGCCCTACAATCTGCCATCTGCAAACTGGAGACCCAGGAAATACGGTGATGCAACTGCAATTCAAATCATGCTCGGAGCCTTGCTAATATGCAAGAGGACATCCCAGATGAAGGCAGGACCAAACCTGCCCATCTTCCACCTTCTCATTCTGTTTGAAACATCATCTGGTGAATGTGTACAGAGAATATGATGTACCACACACAGCATTAATTGACATAATATTAATTGGTAGCACAAAGAATGAAATACTGATACATGCTCTAAATGAAAACAGGCATTCCTCTATAGAAAATATACAATGGTCAATGTGTAAATGAAAAGACGCTCAGCATAATAATCCATTAGAGACCACAGTGACACACTGTCTCTACCCAGCAGGATGCCTAGGATCAGAAAACAGCAAAGTTGTGGGTCTGGAAAACTGGAACATTCACATTGAAGTATGAACATGGAACACAGGCTTGCAGGCTTCCAAAAAATTAAGCATGAAGTTACCAAATGACCTAGATACACAAGTCCCTGAATAGTCATAGCAGCATTATGCTGAGTAGCCAAAAAGTACAAACAACCCCAGGATCTGCCAGCTGGTGGATGAATAGATAAATAAAATGTAGTAAGAGCATAAAATGGAATTTTATTCATTCAATAAAAGGGAACAAAGTACTGGTATGTGCTATAGGATGAACCTTAAAATCAGTATAAGTGAAGAAGGTCATCACAAAAGATCACAAGCGGTAGAATCCCAAATGTGAAGTGTACAGAGCAAGCAGTTCTATAGAGACAGAAAGTAAATGAATGGATGCTTAGGGCTGTGAGGGGAGTGAGCAGGGAGAGGGAGGGAACTGCTGATGTATATAAGATTTCTTTATGAATCAATGAAAATATTCTAAAATTAGTTCATAGTAATAGGTACACGACTCTGTATAAACTAAAATTACCAAGTTGTACACTTTAATACTGGAAATTGTGCAATTTGTGAATTATATCTCAATAAATCTGTTTGAAAATATTACTTGGAGAAACAATTTATTTTGATGGAACACTTAAGAGCTCTTAGCGCTCATTATTCTGAGGCTGAGCTCATGGATCAACATTTTGATATCTAACTCCATTTACTTGTAGGTTATCTGGTCAGTGACTCTCATCCTGCCAAGCATGTCAGTCTTTGGAGATAAACTGATATTCTGGTTTCCTATGCATTATAATTTTTTCCAACTTAAGTAACTTCCACAGACCTTGCTTGTACTTGGGGTGAACTAATACAACTGACTTTAGCAAATCACAAAGCTAAACACAGATCTGTGTTAAGCTCACACAGCTATCACATCCTCAATGGGCCCTGCTTAAAATAGACTGCCAGCCAACCAGCTAGCCTCCTGCTCTTTCCTCTTGGCAGGTCTGACTTACAATATGTTGGCTGATATTATCTTTTTTGTAGAACTATAAAAGTTTCTGGCAGAAATGTATAGCATCACAGTAAAAAAGAAAAATAAACTAGAACTAAATTAAGAGTAAGACATAGTTCTAGAATTTGTTTCTGTAATGAATGTGAAAACACTATAAGAAGAGCGATTTGACATTCAGCACTTATGTAAGTGTTAATAAAGACTGAATTAACGGATGAATTCAAGCCACAAGCATAGCACTTGCGGATTGATGAAAATGCTCTTTGGCCCAGACTGGTTAAGTTTAACTAGCTTCTAATGAAACTGTATAACTCAGTGAACATACTAAACTTGTGCTCTAGGTAGATGGTGCATTGAATAAAGTGGAAAGTCTGACACATCCAGTGACTCTTCTAGGAGGTGAAAGTAAGATAATTCTTTATACCCTGTCCTTCCTGTTGCCCAGTATACAGAAAATACTGCTGCTAAAATTCCTTCTGGGGAGAGGGGGTGTCAACAAGTCCCCTCCGCCTCCTTGATCCCAACTACAAGCCAAGGTACAATTTTGCAAGGCTGCAGTCTGTGAAACCAGTAAATTTATTGGGCTTCCTCACAGCACAATGGGTGAGGGTTTACTTATAGGAGTGTGAGTGCTCTCCCCCACCCCAAAGCT